GAGAGAGAGAGAGAGAATAACGGGATTTGGAAGGAGAGAGAACAAAAGTAAGAGAAAACAAGGAAGAGAGAATGAGAGGGAGACAGAAAGAGCAAGAAGGTAAGAGAAGACGAGAAAAAGAGGGAGAAAAAGGATGGGAGAGAGAGAGTAAAAACGTAAGAGAGGTTAGGGGTAGGTTAACCATGAGTTCGCGGACAGTGTCAGGTTTTCCTCACATGATGATCCGTCTCTTCCGTGGCACACAAATTCTCTCTCTCTCTCTCTCTCTCTCTCTCTCTCTCTCTCTCTCTCTCTCTCTCTCTCTCTCTCTCTCTCTCTCCTCTCTCTCTCTCTCTCTCTCTCTCTCTCTCTCTCCCTCTCCCTCTCTCTCCCTCTCTCCTCTCTCCCTCTCTCTCTCTCCCTCTCTCCCCTCCTCCCTCCCTCCCTCCCTCCCCCCCCCCTCTCTCTCTCTCGAAGAGAGAGAGAGAGAGAGAGGCCTTTTCTTAGGAGATGACCATAGGCCTGCCTTCCAGGCCCTGGGGGAGCTGACCTCGAAGCCCTCCTCACAGACGACTGCAGTCCACTCAGTAGATGACCGGATCATCTCAGATTACGCTGAGTTCGTGAACGTTGGGCCGAGTGCTTTCGAGTGCTTGCGCCAGGTTGGGTGGTCAGCACGGGCGCGAGTGGTCCCGCGATCCCCGTGCCGGACCCCCCCCTCCCCATCGGGGAGGATCCACCTTCCCTAGCTGGAGCTTGGGTGGCGATCTCCAGTTGAGGGCTGGCAAAGGGTCGGTTTTTGCGGCATCCTTGCTGAATTGTTGGAGACTGGTGGCGCGGGATTTGCAAGTTGTCCTGGCTGCCAATCCGTATAGGCGCCTGGCTCGCTTCCTTCTGGGCAATCCTGCTCACAGGGCCTCAACCCCGGGTAGAGGTCAATAAATGGGTCGAGGCCCTGCCAGGCGGCTGGACGTAAGGGACCCTCGGAGGTGGAAACGAATGGTCGTTTCAGCCATGCGCCCCCATCGACTTCAGCTCCCATTGATGAGTTGATCTATCGAAATCAGTGACAAACGTTCCTACTGACGTGGATCCTGCCCCTCCGTCTGTTGAAGGACTAAACGCTGAGACGCGGCCATATCCTCAGCCGCAAGGCCAGCCCCACGTGACTTGCCCTCAGCCAGATGCCACGCCCCTCGTCCAAAGCTGAGAAGCCGATTGGTTCGTAGACAAGGTCCTTGTCACTCTTCAATTTAGAATCACGTTTGCATAATCTCTTGGCCATCTTTGAAGCAGAGCCATCTCACTGTGATTTTTTTTTCTGTCGCTGTCTTTTCCATTCATCAATCGCAGGTCAAAAGGATCCTATCACCTTCAAGAACTTCCTTGGTAACTATACCGCTATAACGCGTGAAAGCAGCGCTGATAGGGCTTACCACTGTGAAGTATCTATTTTGGAAAGGTATGAATGAGAATGGATATCTTCACGATACAAGAGATGTATTGTGAAGATATCCATTCTCATTCATACCATCTCTACCTTTGTCAACATGAATACGGTTCAACTTTCTATTTCTACACTCTGATTATTCATTTAGAGCCTAATTGAAGGTCCAGCGAGCTATCATGTATTTATAATGTATTTATCATCTTAATAAGTGTTGCCAATGCTGCGTCGGGCTTGGCATGAGGCGGGAAAGAGGTTGACCTGCTTCCTCGTCCTCAAGGATCGGTTGAAATTTCTCCTGAAGACTGGATTTCCATTTTGTTTTCTGTGGACATACCAATCGCCCCCTTCTGCTCATACTCCATATATTTTATTGCTCGAAAAATCGTACTTACGATTCTGATGTGTAAATGGAGTTACGAAATTACGTCAAACGGAAATATGATGATTGTAAATAGGCCTGAGAAAATCGCATAACATCACGTGACCTGAGAGACATGAAACAGACCTGGATTATAACGAAATATATCATATTACGCGTTGCTCGACGTTAAAAACCCTGGATTGGATCGTAAAATGTCTGTTCAGCGAAGTTTTGTGGCGGGAATGAAATTATTCCAAGAAAACTAACTCCTTTTGCAAATATTTTACTCGGTTGTGCAACGGGTTTGGGAGTTTGTGAAATCGTAAACAAATAAATGAAATGAAATTACATTTATAATAATGATAATGATAATAATAATAATGATGATATTATTGATGATAATAGTGATTTTGATGATAATAGTGATAATGATAATAATGATGATAATACTAATACTACGACTACTAATAATGATAATTGTAATAAGAATGATAATAATATTAATATTCTGAGGCATCCTAATGAACGCATAAGGAGAAGGCAGTATGACGTCACAACCCCGACACTCGCAAGTCAGAAATCCGGAGAAAAAGTGGTTATTGATGACGTAGGAGGAATGTGACGTCAGTAGTGGTTCCACACAGCTTAATTCTGAATTTTAAAGATGGGTGTTGTTCAGGGAAGAAACTACATGGAACTAACCGTAGGGAATAATCTTGCATAAATGATAACAATTCTCTTCAGTTCTCCAAATGATATCAGTGTATTAAATAGATGTAAATGAGCGCGGACAACCAACATTGTAAGAATTTCCACTCTGCTCGAAGTGTCAGTATATTACTTTTCACCATTTTGAGTCTGTTGTAGTTATTCTCGAATGGATGTCATATCATTACAACCATTGGTGTGATTATATTCGATCTGATTCGATTCCTGATCAAACGCGGCTCGAATGTGACGTTTATGCCATTCGTGACGTCATCGCGCCGTAGCCAATCACATTACAGGAAAAACACATGTCAGATGCAACACCCGGTTTATAGCATCCCTTCAGCCCTCTCTATCCATTAAACTCCAAACAAACCTCAGCTGATCTCGAGTATACTTTAGACGTTTCCATTTTACATAACTTCATGTCCAATCATTCGACCAATGGCTTTACAAGAAGGATTCGCAGAGATTC